AAAACGAAGCGTTTGAGAGAGGCGGGGCATAGAGGACCTACAATAATGTACAGTATTTGAAAAATAATGTGTTTTTTGAACATTAAAGCATGTCAACATATTCTGTTACACCAAATACACAAAATAATTATCTTTAAAAAAGCATCATATGACCCTTTTAAACCGCATAAATGCATTTCATTACACCAAATACACAAAATAATGTTCTTTTTATCAACATCATATGACCCCTTTAAGAAGTTTGTTCTCCACATGTAGAGCGGAAGCACACAGGCACAAGGGAAAAGTGAAAAGTTAGATGTATATAGCAGGATGCTGGTGTTGGGGGGAGGGACCGAGCTTCAGTGTAATCCTCCAGCCATCTGGTGCTGTGTGGGTATGCGTGGTTTCACATGTGTGCATGTCAGCATCACATGTGTGCATGTCAGTGGTAAACTCTCTGCAGCCTCTCTTTATCCAATCTGACCAAAAGAATGCATCTAAAACCTGCTGGATATATTATGATACATTCCTCTTCCACTTTCCTGAAAAGATTGTGATTGTGTAAAGTTTATATTATGGCATGTCGTCTTCACCAGGGTAGTTCTGCCACATTGCTTTAAATCTTGTTCTTTAAGACAGGGGTTTTCAAACTTATTATATTATTATCTTATATTCTTATATTATATATCTTATCTTGTATTATATAAGAAACATGTTGACTTTTGTATCGCCACTGTTCTAAATTGTTATTTTACTAATATTTATGTACGATTAGTATTTATTAATATTTAGCTTTTATTTACATGTTTTTAGTTATCGTATGAATTTTAGTTTAAGTTTGAGTAATTTTGTCACTTTTTTTTGTTTTAGTTTAAGTAATTTTAATGCTTCAAATTATTTTATTTCAGTTAGTAATCAAGGTCAAGTCAAGTTTATTTGTACAGCGCTTTTCACGATATAAATCATTGCAAAGCAACTTTACAGCAAATTAAGTTTCTACAATATTTAGTGGTAGCTTATCAGTGGTGACTGTCAATTAATGTTGTGGCACTCCATATTTTACTGGTGATAATCGAGATGACTCCCCATTTAAATGAACAAAGTGGTAGCGATCGGACAGGTAGGATCTAAACCATCTTAGGTGACATTTCTAATTTTCATTTAGGTTTTAATTTAAAGTTTTCCAAATAATGTTTAGAATTCATTTTATTTGATTTGTAGGGTAAACGTACCTATTAATAATGGGAACAGGGGTGTGCTTAAAGGGTACAAAAATGTACCCATTAAGCACAGCCAGACTTTTTGCATTTAATGATGTATATCATTCTTAATCAAAATGTTTTTGTCATTTAAAATAAAATGTAAATATTTTTTGTGTGAGAGATTAATATTTTATTGTAACATAACATCTTGTAGTGAAACCAATATCTTGTGCACTAAAAAAATGTCTCAATATAGATTTTGGTGAGCTTAGGGACTAAATTGGCCCACTTTCTAGTAGCCTATATAAAAGTATACTTTTAAGTATACTTTAAGTATAACAGTAGTAAACTTTGAGTATACAACTAGTTTACATCTATGTTTTTAGTTTGTACTGCAACTACACTAAAAGCGAACTTATAAGTATACTGATAGTTTACTAATTAAATACTTGTAGTAGCATGTTAGTACACTAGTTTAGTAATAGTTTAGTAGTTTTATAATTGGAACTGTAGATCACAGAGAATTGACAGGATGCAAAGTAAGAGAGAGAGGGGTACAGGATTGGGAAAGGACTAGGATTGGGAAATCATGTGTGTCTGTGTATATGTATGTGTGGCTTTTTAAACAAATAATTGATTGATTAAGTAATTATTTGTCACAGCCCTGCTTAGAAATCATACATTTGTGATTTAGTACCAATTAGGGATTTGCAAATGTAATTATTATTTTTTTGACTAGGACTGCAGCTTGTTGTGCACCAGTGAACGTGGCAACGTATTTGTGCACATCCTCCAAATTTCTTAAGTAGTGTCTTGAGTGTTATCTGCTGTTGTCATACTCCCACTTGGGGTACATGAGGGAAAGAGCGAAGCAAAAGAATGAAAAAGGGAAGGGAATTAGAGAACTAGAGATAGAATAAAGAATGAAGTGTAAAATAGTATACTACTGCTTTTAGATTTCCCCAGGCAAAACACACACATGCTCACGCACACATGAGGTGAACTCTCGCTGACCTCTGACATAATTGGCCTATCATTTATTTGGACTGCCTGGTTCTCCTCTAAGTTTCAGACTAATCCACTTCTGATAAGAAAAAACTAAGAAACATAGTTATTTCAACAAAAAAAACATCAAATTTGAACTGTAGCGCAGGGAATTCTGGGAATGTCAATTTACGGTTATTCACTGTAAATTATATAGTCTTTTTCACTTCCAAAAACGGTATACTACCGTAAAATTAATGTCCAATACATGTAATGTCCAAAACAGTTTTTCACCGTATATAGTAGGGGAATTTACCGTTAACCATTTAACAGGTTTTTACTGTAGCATTTTTACAGTTTTTTACCGTTAAATTCACTGTCATTTTTTACAGTGTAGGACAGATCCTTGTGGCACTCCATATTTTACTGGTGATAATCGAGATGACTCCCCATTTAAATGAACAAAGTGGTAGCGATCGGACAGGTAGGATCTAAACCATCTTAGGTGACATTTCTAATTTTCATTTAGGTTTTAATTTAAAGTTTTCCAAATAATGTTTAGAATTCATTTTATTTGATTTGTAGGGTAAACGTACCTATTAATAATGGGAACAGGGGTGTGCTTAAAGGGTACAAAAATGTACCCATTAAGCACAGCCAGACTTTTTGCATTTAATGATGTATATCATTCTTAATCAAAATGTTTTTGTCATTTAAAATAAAATGTAAATATTTTTTGTGTGAGAGATTAATATTTTATTGTAACATAACATCTTGTAGTGAAACCAATATCTTGT